GAGGTATGTAAAACAACCTCAAAAATCTAGTAGTAGTAGCAATTGCTGTGATCGATATTTATTGTATTAAACAATTGTTTTTGGATTGGTTTTACAATCCGTTGTTATTTTAAATTTGAAATGTTTATTTACTTTTAATCGAAATAAATTATTTTATTTATTTTTTTGTCTGATTTTGACTTTATTTAAATCTATCAGTTCCGAACGTATCAAAAGATACCTTCTTAGTAGATTGAAGCTGGGTCACCCTGTACATAATATTTTGATTAAAATCTAGTGGGCAATCTGACTTTCTCAAATTCTTTAGTATTACCTGTGTATCAGTGTAAAGATAATTGTTTCTTTTGTTTATGAAAATATTTACTGCACTTTCAAGTGGACACTTCAAACTGTCTGATTTTCATACATACATATGTATGTTTCCAGATAATAGGGGCGCTTATCTCTGGTAGTATATAAAATTTTATTTGCCGTCAAACTTTTTTACATTGACTGTGATATTTGTGTGAATGAAATATTTAATTTCTGAATTAAATTAACACCATAATGCTTGCACCAAGGGAATTTCTAAAAGGAACAAGGTATATGCAGTTAATAGCATCCATTTCCGGTAAGTACCTACATAAATTAATATTTTGGTAATAAATAATTACCTATAACGTAACAAGAATGTTCAAAACTAATGTATCTGTTAAATGAATTGATTGTATAATTTCAAAATTCCAGAGTTACGTCTTTAAATGCGTAATAAAACAATACGTTGTGAACCAAAACGTCTTAATAGTGTCTAGTGAAAACTGCATAAAATGTAGTTGCTATCGGTGAACAATCACATTCAATTCACTACAATTAATCTTCATCAATATCATTTTTTTGAAAAAATTTCCATTTTACTGCTAAATGGAAGTCTATTTTGAATTTTTAATGCTACTTTTGCAACTATATTCTTAAGTGTTATTTATTTTAAGGTGTGAGATATATCAGTGATGATTTTCAATTCTAATATTACCTATACTTGGAATTATTATTTACAATAATCATCATTTTTGTGTACATTAGCAGTAACTTATCTGTACATGTTGTTTATTTGAAATTCCAGCAACAGTATACAGTCCAATAATTTTTTACCCTTTCCCTTCTAAAATTGACCCAAATACAATCATGTCGAAAGTGTTTTGTTGCAGTTACATTTTCGGTGGCTGTAACGGGAATGTTTATATCATGGTCTTCTCCCGCAGTACCGTTACTGACCGGAGAGAAGGAAGGCTTAGATTTCAAACTGACTACGGTAATGAACATGAAAGATAACCTTAAAATTCTCAAAAGAAATGGTACATTACGTATCGAGGGAAGAAATATGCAGTCTGAAATAACCCTGTTTCTTCCCGAGGTACGTACACTATTTTTCGTCATGTTTGTGCGGAAAGCTCGTTATTAAATTGATATTTGGCGAAATAAGAGTAAATAATTTAGAGGTTAGAAAGACATTGTCATTGAACAACTGATTTCTGCGCATGCCCATAAACTTGAGCGCATGCGCTCAAAAGACTAATTTCATTTCCTCCTAACTGAAACACGGCTGAAAAGAGGCCATTTCTTCCCTATTTAATAGCATGCAAAACGAGCTTTCCGCGCTAACATGACAAAAAGGAATTATCCATGTTGTAGGAACAAACGTCGTGGGTGGTGTCTGGTTATATTCTAGGAACTGCCATAGGTAATGCTGTAGTAGGAATTCCTACAGAAAAATTGGGAAGACGGATTACCCTACTTCTTGGTGCTCCACTCTACTTTCTTTGTTGGATCGGAATTATATTTTCCAAGGACTTTTACATGTTGCTTATATCGAGAATGATTGGTGGCATAGGTTCAAGCACTGCATTTGTGGTTAGTGTTTAAGAAGGGGTTTCTTATGTTGGTTAATATCAAAAATTAAAAAAGGGGTCTAAGTCTATAGTCTGCCACTTCCGTTTTTAAAAGGGAACACTCTTTTCACAAAGAAATTATCCCATTCCTATATTTAATATGATCTTTTAAACTGAATTTCACAAGTAGTTGACCATTTGGCTTGAGGTTAATTTGCGTTATACGTCGATGAATTATTCAAGCAGTCACAGCACTTTTTATATTTTTAAAATTAACAGACGTTTTGTAGTGCTGTTCACTGTACATTGGAGAGATAGCTGACAAGGACCTTCGGGGTCGTCTGGCATCTGCGATGTCCGTGTTAAAACTGAGCGGGAATTTGTATGTCCTTTCAGTGGGACCTTTTATGTCGTATTATGCCCTTGCATGGAGTTGTTCCGTGATACCGGTCCTACTTTTTGTGGCGCTTCTGCTTATGCCAGAATCCTCATATTATCATTTAAAAAGAGGCAATGTCGAAAAGGCCAGAGCGAGTTTGGTGTGGTTTGCTGCTAGTACCACCACAAATCAAGAGATTGAAGAAAAATTGGAGTCGATAAAAGATGGCGTTGATAAGGACATGCGAAATAAATCGTCCCTTAAAGAGCTATTTACTAGTAAAATACACAGGAAGGCCGTTGTTGCTATAATCGGTAAGGTTTTCGGAACTTAATATAAACTTTAGATAGAGAAATAAACGTCATAATTACTGTAGAATTTAGATAACCTTAAAATATTTTTAAATTTTAAAATGTCACAATATAGTTTCTTTTTCTTCAGGTCCTAAACCACTTTAACTTAAAATATAGAGCCCTAGTGAGTTAAGTTAAATTGATCTATATTAAAAGCATTTAATATTTAGTATGAGCAGTGCAAATTGTTCCTTCTTTTTACCTTTTTAAACGTGCTCATTTAATTGAGATTAGCTAAGAACTTAAAACTTCATTTATTCAGAATTTCTTGAATTTAATTTTAGCATTTTCCTTGAAATACATTAAGTTCTTCTTCAGAAATTTATCGACTTATTAGTTCTCATCAGCACGTCACAGGTAGTTTTGGCAAATCACTGATCAAACCGGATGAGCTGTATCTAGTATTTCAAAATTTTTGACAAGGACTAAGGCGGTATACTGCCTGTACTTTGACATTATTTTCCTTCTTGCAATTGAACGTGTAGAAGTTCCACAACATCAATGAATACTTTCAATCAACTAGTTTTAAATTGTAGGCCTTAAATTTTTACAACAATTGTGCGGTATCACTGCAATTGAATCGTACATGCAGACAATCATTCAACAAAGTGGTAGCAGTTTATCTGGGGATTTATCCAGTATTATTTTTGGAATCGTACAGTTTGTAGGAGGTATGTAAAACAACCGTATATTGTTAAATAAAATGAAAAATAGAGACCCACTCTAGTTACCACAAAAGCTAGGACAGTACCTATTCCTTCACCACAGTCTCTATTTTTTACTTTGAATTGGGACTTTTATTTTTGTATTGTTCTGTATTGTGTGTGTGAATCTTATTGATTTTTATTTCAATTCTACAAATTAACCTTTGGCGTTATTTTCGGTTTTGGATAATTTTGGTACGAAAGATGGAACATTTGTTTGGCATTTGAACTATTGCCAAATCTGCGGCACCAAAACTGAATTCAGTTTTATAATTTATGATCTTTATCAGCTGTGAATCTGTAGTACAGAGATTTGTGCCTAGTGTATTTTAAAGGAACTAAATACATAATAAATAACAGACATTTTATCTCTATTTATAAAATGGCGTATTGTGGTCTTAATAAAGTCTGCTATACGTTTTATTGTAAAATGATTTGCGGTTTGCTTTTATAAAATTTGTGATGAATATACGAGGGTGGATTGATAAGTTTCCGGCCTAACCAAGAGATGACGCCACTAGGCCTACCTTGAGGTGACATTCTATAGTACCATCCTTGGATAGCTTGTAGCTATAGTTTCNAGTAATCTAATCTAGGTCTACCTCTATCCCTCTTAACTCCTGTTTCTGCCTTTAATATGTCTCTGACTAGACCCTCATGTCTGAGAAGGTGTCCTACCAACCTATCTCGCCTATTTTTTATTGACTTCCATAGAGTCCTCTATTCTCCTATTCTTTCCAATACCTCTTCATTTCTAACCTTTTCTACCCACGTTATCCTCATCATCCGCCTATAACACCACATTTCGAACGCTTCTAACCTAACCTAACCTTTTCATTTCCGCCACGCCTACTGTCCATGTTTCGCACCCGTACAAGCTAGCATGTATGACAAAAAATTTCAGCATTTAAGACAATTACTGTATCGGCAAATAGAAAAACTTGTGTTTAGAAGGATTATTAAAAACAAAAAACGAATGAATAGGATTAAATGAGTAAGACCAAGATATGACGCGCAAGAACAAGACCAAACCCGAGACCAAGACTAAGACTGGAATTACTTCAGACAAAGACCGAATAGACAAGAACCACTTGCTTCTCTGAAAATTATCCTAAACCAACGGAACTTTCTTTAAATTGCACTTTTTGGAATTGTTATTACGAAAGATGGCAGAAAGCATTTTTACGAACGTTCCTACATGTAGCACGCCGTATTGTCAAAAAATGATGCCGCCCTTTAATGATTGCACGTTATAGAATACCTCCATATTCGATTTTTAACTCTCCATTAGTGTATACATACTTTAAAGGTATTGGATCTAATTAATTAAAACACCGTTTGCCTCGTGGCAGCCTTCACCTTAAGACAATATCCCCAAATGTCCATAAGCCACTTATGAATCTATTTCCTCGGCGCGTCCTATCAATGAAAATCCTTTCAATAAAAATTACGTGATTTGGTTGTTGAAAGCACTGTATGATTAACATAGCCTGCTTAATTTACTAACGTCATCGACCGCCTTTCAAGTAGACCCTTCCATTTTATCTGCAGAAATAACAATTAATTATCAAGTAGTCGGTGCAGCAAGTATAGATATAGTATAAATTGAATGAGGAAATACATTTCTCGTCACATTTTGTTCAGGTGTTCGTGAAGTGAATAGGGTGTTTAATAAATATCGAAAATGGTGCTCCTATCCCTTGGACAGTTCAAAAATTCTAGATATATGCAGTTAATTGCATCAACTGTCGGTAGGTGTTCAATTAACATCAAATATTATTAAAACTATTTCTTTTTTTCTGTATTAATTTCATTGGTATAAAGTAAAAAATTTTTAAAAACCTTGTTTTTCTTGGTCAGGCCGGAAACTTATCAATCCACCCTCGTAATGTACTGTAAAAAATATTCGAAAAAAAATGCACTGTAGAAACATACATAAATTTTTGACTTCTAGCAATTGCTTCGGCATCATTGATAGATCATTTCGGAAGAAAGCCTTTGTTATTCATTTCGGCTCTAGGATGTGCAATTTCTCTAACCGCTGAGGGCATATATTTCTACTTGACTGATGCCCTCAACATTGAAGTGGGTTATTTATCATGGCTCCCAACTACAGGACTTACAGTATATCTGTTTCTAAGTGCTGTCGGAATTTATACTATCCCATACGTATATTTAGGAGAAATATTTGCTACAAATGTAAAAGAAAACGCTGGAGCGTTTGGAACCTTCTTGGGCGCATGCTTGAGTTTCGCGGTCACGAAATCATATTCTCCCTTAAAGGAAGCATGTGGAATTTACACAGTGTTTTGGATATTCGCTGGTATCTGCTTTTGTGGATCTGCCTTTGTTGTTGTAGCAGTGCCAGAAACAAAAAATAAGAGCTTGAAGGACATACAAGCGGAATTGAATAAACCTCTTTCAGTAAAGAACGAAGATGTTATTGAAGAAGGAATATTGCAAGAGAAGAAGCTTTGTCATCAAAAGAAAAAATAATAGTCAACAAGGAATATCCATTGTTAGGGAAACTCGATCTGCGTCTCTTGTAATATTAATGAAAAGTAAGATTACTAACATTCCAAAAAGGCTTTGAAAACAATTGAAGCTTAGTAATCTATAATTATCGAACGTATGTAGTTAGGTACTTTTTAGATTAGATTGTGCAGACGATGTGTATGATGATGATACAAAATTTTTTGATAATTTCATAAGATTAGATAACTCCATTTTAATCCGTTATGGTCTTCGCCTTCCAAAATAAACCCAAGCACATCAGTCTTTCTACATTTCCAACATTTATTTTTATCTTACCTATGCCAGCCTATCTTTTGTCACATCTCCTCCACTGTCCTAAAAAAAGGCCATCTCTTTTCCTTACAATTTCTTTCAGAAGACTAAGTCCACTGCCATCCTCATTCACCAATTCATAACATTCGTCCCAGGTTCTACTATCCTCACATCCTTCAGACATTCTTCCTCCCTGTTACATGTCCTACACCATTTGTCCTTTTCCTTCTTCTAATATTTACATCCTATAAAATCTTTCCATGCCCAAAACATTATTAGTACGTTTATTTTCCTTTATCCTTCTTAATACCTTGACACCCAATCCCCTCCCTAGTCCCTCCACAAATTCTCCCTCATCCCTACCACATATCTTGACTCCTCTATCATTCTTAAATCCCCTCCTCCTTTTATTCTGCTGCATCTGTTCCTCATCAATTTCCATACATTGATCCTTCCCTCCCTTACCTGCCTCTGACTGATTTCTAACCTCTTCAAAGCCCTTCCTTTTTCTGCCATATCTAATACTTTTCGTCCTTATTACTAATACCTTCCTCCTTCATATTTCCTTTCTGATATCCCCTTATTGCAGCCTCCCCAACTTTACCATCCTTTTAGTTGCCTCTTCCCACATGTTCCCACATTTAGTCACCCTTCTCATTACATAAATAATTTTAATAAAGGTTAATAGTCTTACCAGTCTTTCGTTATTCAATGATTGCTACATATAAATAAATATCTTTTGTTTTAAACGCAACAGGGTTGTTCTTGTTATTGTTTTTAATGTTATGGTCCAGAATATCCAAAATATTGGACATAATAATTGAAATATTTTTGCATCACTTGTAAAAAATTCTTTATTGTAAATACAACAAGGAAATTGTTAGTAAATAACGTGGTTTGTCATTTGTAGGTACCTGTATACAAATCTATTACAGGTGACAGAAACATGCTCAGTTGTCTGTAATCATTAACATAACACCTTCCGGCATCTATAACTTTCTAAAATTCATTTATACACATTCGTGGTAACTCAAATAAGTAACTAATTTTAATAATTAAGTTAAGCATATANAATTTAAGAGTTTCTAACGGGTGACAACAAAATATTTCAGGCTCAGTCAGAATTCAGTTCAACTTCAGAATAATTTTCTTCCAAATATAAATTATAGAATGCCTTAGTTTTTAACTTTTAAAATTTTCACATGGCCCAAATTATAATTGCATATTAAATTCTGATCATTTCTTTTTCATCTCTTGAGGGTGGTTTGAAACGTTGCCCTAGTTCTATATTAAATTAGGACGAACTGCTACATCATGACCCAACCTTCAACAGTTGTACAACTCCAAATAATTCTTGAACTTTAATGTTTAATTGTTTTTCTTGATGGTAGCTGAGAAAGTTGTTCTGTTTAGTATTAAATTAAGACAACCTTCTCAACCACAACTTAACCATCAAGTGTTCCACAACTCTAAACAATTTTTTGCTAGTTAGACACCAGAGCTCATGGAGTATGGGCACATTTCAGAGGATGACTGCAAAAGTTATTCTGGTTCAATGTTGAATTAGGGCAACCTTCCAAACCATAACGTAACATTTACCCCAAACAATTATTGGACGGTTAGAGACCAGGTTCCCGATTGTTAACAATTATCTACTAATATGACTGCTAGAATTATTTTGTAGTTAGCAAAAATTCTAGATACTGATTCTTAATATATTAAGAACCTCATTGCTTTTATATGAATTTATAATGACTTGTAAAATATCTTCTACACTTATTAATGTCATTTCCACAAAATTTGTGACTTTTTAAAAATCTATTTCAAAAATCCTTAAATACTTGCATATACCACAGAGTAATTTAGTTTCATATGAATTGTTAGATTTACATATAATCTGCATAAGTATTTCACTTGGCCGGATATTTTTGTTGCCATTGTTTACCAAGTGACCTTAAATTTGTTTACGTAAGCACATCCCAAGAACACAAAATTCTATACATATACATATGTATTACCGACAAGGCGTTCCTTATATTTGTTCTAAAAGTATTTGTATTTTGTGGCATTATCAGTGCTTGTTCGACAGGTACACGTTTCATCACAATTTTTTTGTTCATTTTTAATCAAATTGTGATTTGCCGAACCAATTATGAAAACAATTAGATAAAACTTTCAAG